TTTTCTTCTAATTTTTAAAAAGTAAGCCACTTTTTCTTATATATATATATATATATAATCATTTTCCTTTTAGCTCAAAGATTTTGAAACCAAACTCGCCTGCCGACCTCAATTCTGGCGGTCCTCCAGTCTACCCTATACATTTGATAGCTCCTATAGCACGTCAGATCACTTCTCCAATCAGTGGAGATGGCGATGCATCTGCATTTTGTTGCGGTGCTGCTGGTTAGCATCATAGGTTTCATCTCTGTTTTGAGATCATTCATCGGTTTCTTCAACTGGGTATGGTTCATGTTTCTCCGACCCCCGAAGAATCTAAGAACTTACGGGTCATGGGCAGTAGTCACCGGCCCTACAGACGGAATCGGGAAAGCCCTTGCCTTTGATCTTGCATCCGAAGGTCTCAACTTACTCTTGGTGGGTCGAGACCCTTCAAAACTCGAATCCACCTCCGAGGAGATTCGTAGACGATGCGGTGGCGAAATTGAAATCAAAACCGTCGTCCCCGACTTGGCCAAGTATACCGGAGAGGAGATATCGAGGAAAATAGGGGATGCAATAGGAGGACTTGATATTGGGATTCTGATCAACAACGCCGGTGTGGCCTACCCTTACGAGAGGTTCCTTCATGAGGTGGATTCGGAGCTGACGCAGAGTGTTATACAGGTGAATGTAGAGGCGGTTACCTGGATTACCAGAGCAGTTCTACCGGTCATGCTGAAGAAAAAGAAAGGGGCAATAGTCAATATCGGGTCTGGCACCGCCGATGACATCATTTCATTCCCTTTATGCGCCATTTATGCTGCTACCAAAGCGTAAGTTGGAAACACAGGAATGCTATTTTCAGTCTGAAAATGATCAAAATATCATTAATGAATTAAGCATGCGTGCTCGGAATAACATATGTAATGTCACAGGTACCTAGCAATGTTTTCAAAATCAATTAGCTTGGAGTATAAGAAAAACGGAATTGACATCCAATGTCAGGTGAGTTTTCTCTAATGCAATTGCATATGTAACTTCATTATTTTTGCTTTTTTGTTTTTTTAAACTTATGTTACCTTTGAACATTCAGGTACCATTCTATGTGGCAACAAAGATGTCAAGGCGAAGAACCAGCTCGTTGTTCGTCGCATCACCAGAGGGGTATAGCAGAGCAAGCATAAAACAGATTGGGTATGAACCTCTGTGCATCCCGTTCTGGTCACATTCTGTGCAGTGGTTCGTCCTGCGTGCACTGTCAGGCAAACAGTTGGATTACTTCATTTTCAAGGACTTTCTTGACCAACGGAAGAAAGGACTGGCAAATGACCGCATCAAAGACAAGGTGAAGCAGTAGAAAGCGTTAAGGAACATTGATTAAGTATTAGTCACCGGAAGAGGATATATATGGTTTGAGTATTGGCGTTATATATATATCTTATCTATGGAGACATCAATAAATGTTACGTGAATGTACTTGAATCTTCTTGGAAACCTTCTTAGGCTGCACTTACGCCCTGTTCCCTCTGTTGTTTCCTCATTCGAATAAGTTGTTTTAATGAAGAACTTGTTTATGCCATTTGCTCCTACTCTGCACTAAAAATACTTGATTATTAGAAGACTCAAATCAATAGCTTCCTTTCTGAAACTTGTTAAGGTTTTCATCAAAATAATCATGCAGGGATCAAGAAATTTTCCAGGCTTGATCCTCAGAATGCAAAGCTATGTACTCACAGACAATGGTTGATAAATTACAAATCTGCAAAACATAATGCATTTAGTAACGGATACCCAGAATCAAATTTGATGACAGCACCAAATCTTAAAATGATAAAGCATCCAATTGCCTTTATACTGCACTGGCAGCAGTAGCATTAATAATAGACATGCATACGGGACAGTCTCTCAGAAATAGTCCAAGCCGAGAAGAATGATTTTGAGATGAAGACATACACTGCAGTCTCTCAGAAATTGAGATGAAGATATACACACTGCAGTGTTTGTGGAGGCGGAAATAGTCCCAGCCGAGAATGATTTTGCAAAAGCGATTGTATGAAGCTTCTTCCTCTTAAAGCTTGTCTTTGTTCATAGCCATGGCTACTCCGAGAGTCCTGAAGCCTTTAGCTCCAAAGGCAGAACTGTAAAAATATATTTCGGTAAAAGTTGGCAAAGGAAAGAAAAGAACGGGTGATGAGAAGAAAAGTGAAAATTATATATTTTTTATTTAATTAAATAAATTAATTAAGTAAAATTAATTATAAAATTTAATTAAAAGTTTTTAATTTTGAAAATTAAAATTAAAGTTTTAATTATATATTTTTAAAAAATAAGTGAAAAATAAAGAAAGTAAATTAAATTCTTTAAATTAGTGAGATTTTACCTCAGGGATTTAGAGGAAATCTTCCATCCTTTCCCATCTTTTAATGAGTTTATGAGTTTATATAAACAAGAGAGGGAAAAAACTTCTCCCTCACAGGTTTTTTAAAGAAATTAATAAAAAGGTAATATAATTATAAATTGACTATCAAACTCGCACAGTACATTCAGGTAATTTGACTATCAAAACGTGGAGTCTGGACAAAACTAAAAAATTGAAGTACAAGAAATCAAGATCTCCACGTTTCATTCATCATGAAGGTCAGCAATGGTGGTTTTCCGGTTCATCTACTTCACCCACCAAGTGGCCTTTACGTCTGTCTCTTCTACACCAAGCCTAAGAGGGAGAACAGTCTCTGCCTCCTCTACTCAATTAAATGCCAACCTGTCTTTGCCAACCTTAACTTTTCTGTTATTTATCCCTCGATACTACCGCCTCTTTCTCTTCAAATCTCACCTAGATTCATCATACCCAAACCAAACCCTCACGTGCACTGAGAAATCCACTGTTTTCCGCATATCTATCTCCTCTCTAAGCAATACCCATTTCTTCAGTTCCCTCCTTTCGTTCCCCAACCCAAAGAAGTAAACTTTCTCTGCATCCATGGAGCGCTGTTTCATCGATACCCTCAAGGGTCAGCCTTATTGGGTTCTGGTTCTCTTCACTTTGGGTTCTCTGTCTGTTTTGAAATTCTCTCTTACCTTCCTCAAATGGGTCTGGGTCAATTTCCTCAGACCCGCCAAGAATCTGAAGAAATACGGGTCGTGGGCGCTGGTCACTGGACCTACTGACGGGATAGGCAAGGCTTTTGCTTTTCAGTTGGCGAGGAAAGGGCTTAATCTTGTCTTGGTAGGTCGTAATCCGGAGAAGCTCAAAGATGTGTCTGATTGGATCCTGGCTAAGTGTGGGAGGATTCAGATCAAGACTGTGGTTGTGGACTTCAGTGGGGATCTTGATGAGGGTGTGAAGAAGATAAAGGAAACTATTGAGGGGCTGGATGTTGGGGTTTTGATTAATAATGTTGGGCTTTCGTATCCGTATGCAAGGTTTTTCCATGAGGTTGATGAGGAGCTGCTGAGGAACTTGATTAAGGTGAATGTGGAGGGCACTACCAAGGTTACTCAGGCTGTTTTGCCTGGGATGTTGAAGAGGAAGAAAGGTGCAATTGTGAATATCGGCTCTGGTGCTGCAATTGTTATCCCCTCTGATCCTCTTTATGCTGTTTATGCTGCCACCAAAGCGTAAGTTTTTACTTTGCTTCCCTTAATCCCATTTCTGTTTATGGAGTGAGATTTGGTGGTTGTTTAACTTTAAATGCCTTGCATAGAAACTGACCTGTAAATAGACTGAAATTGTGAGGGAACTGGCATCCTTTTTTAATTGTGAATTTGCAGATTGCAACTGAGAATAAGGATTAAGTAATTGATTCAGAAATTTTAAACGTGCGTTTACAATTGAGTTGGTTTCTTTGATTGATATGTACTTGAGTTAATTATGGTGAGTGCAACTAATGGGGCTTGTTTTCAGGTATGTTGATCAATTCTCAAGATGCCTCTATGTTGAGTACAAGAAAAGTGGGATTGATGTTCAGTGTCAGGTATGCTTACTGTGCTTGACTACTTGGAAATCTTATGATATGATGCCAATTTGATAAATTGAATTAGTGCACGATATCCCCATTCCTTATAAAATATAAAATATCAACCATAAGATGTTTGTAAGATGAACTGAGTTAGTTGGCAGATGCAAATTCAGAACACTAGGTATTCTATACAACTGCTGATATGTTCTATAAGTTTTTTATGCTTTATAATTTCTCCTTCAAGGCATTTTAATAGAAATTTGAATACTTTTAGTGTCCTAGTTCTTAACTTTGCTTGATTTTTACCTACTCATGGTTTTTTAATCTCCTTTTCACTCTTTGAACTAAATGTTTTCCCCAAATGGTTACTATTTCTATAATAATCAGAGGGGGATAAATCCACCTGAATGAACTGAGAGTAGAGGGGGTAGTATGTATCAGTGACAACTGAATGCATTTTTTATGATGCTTGACCATGTGATCTGTGTTGATGACTAATTACACAGCTAGTATCCAAAACTTTTTTTTTTTTTTAATCATCACAATAGAAGACAGGGTAAATGTTTAGTTGGGTGAAGTATTGTTTGTTAATGTCTATTGTCTAACGTCTAGGGAAATAAAGGACATTTAGTCTTGAAGACATTCAGGAAGATCAACAAAAACTGTTCTCTATTGAATTTTTGTAGGGCGAAGATACTGGAGTGAATGAGTTTGTTTTGTTTCCGTTCTGTAATCAAGAGTGGGGTTTCTTTGATGCAGGTTCCATTATATGTAGCAACCAAGATGGCATCAATAAGGCGATCCTCTTTCTTTGTTCCATCAACAGATGGTTATGCCAAGGCAGGTTTGCGCTGGATAGGTTATGAACCCCGTTGCACCCCATACTGGCCCCATTCTCTCCTTTGGGGGTTGGCATCCTTATTACCAGAGAGTGCCATTGATGCTTGGCGCCTACCCTTCTGTCTTAAAATCCGAAAGAGAGGACAACTTAAAGACTCAACGAAGAAGGAATAGACAAACCTTAAACACTCCAAGAAGAAGGAATAGAGTACCAAGTCCAGTTTGTTCATGTTATCTGTTGGTGCAGGCTGGCTTAGATGAAGCTCCCTACTATTTCAACTTCTGTAATAGACTGCTCTTAATTTTTTTTTTTTCTTTAGATGATTTCTCTGAGTATGTTATTGTGCTTCATGTTCCATTTCTTTATTACTCTATGTTATATTTATGTAAGCTGCAAATTTCAGTACCCTATCCTTCAGTGCCGATAACAACCAATCAACATTCGACAAATTACAATATAATTTAAACTAAATTTCAAACAGTAGTTTTTTTGTGAGAAGCTCCAGTTGAAGCAATTGATTGCTCGTCACACGGAGCTTTTCATCGGACTCGAGTTCGAATCATTTCCATTCTCCCTTTCCTTACAATTGTAACTTTGTTAAAAAAAAAAAAAAAAGCATTTTTCGTATTTATAAGTTATATAATAAAATATAACCTTCTTATTTTCAAATCTTGATCCATTTATATTTAAATTTTTAATCACTGAGAGACGTCCCTTGGGAACAGTTACAAACGGGACAGATTAACATAAAGTAGGTTATAACAAGTGCAGGAGCAGGACTCAATCTTGGGATATTGAGTCAGTGTGTGAGAGCATGGAGTACCTGCATCTAGGCCAAGCTAGAGGCCGAAACCCAAACCCAAATTAAACAGCGCAATTTGAACTCATCGGCCCATTAACAATTCGATACTTCGACCTGACTCCTGACATATAAAATGTTTGTTCGCAGTATGGACATATTTAAGCGGTATCCTTACTCTCTTTCATTGTCGCATAACCATATGCCGCCATAGTTACACGGCATCGTCTTCTCTTCTTCTGCGGTTCTACCGGACGGACGAAAAAACCCAGAATCCAAAAAGGGCGGTGACGGGCAGTTGTTCTCATCAGCTCCCAAGTTTGCTGAGTCAGGACCGAGTCAGACTAATGGACAAGCCGATGTCTGGCTCCGAATCCGGTGCCACCACCGCTTACAACACCGTTTTCATAGACACCAACCTCGACACCCACCTTGCAATGATCGTCTCGGATTCCGAAACCGTTTCCGATCTCAAAAGTAATCATTTTTTTCCCTTTTTTTTTTTTTTATGTGGATTGCTTTATCTTCAATGTTTTGCTTATAACCCGCAAATGGGTACTGCATTTTGGTTATCGTTTCAAAAACAATCTGCATGTTGTGTTTAGAACTGATACGATAGGTTCAAAAGACCATTCCTTTTGCCGTTAATCCTAATGCTTTTTCATTTCTGGCGGCGATGGTTCATCTTTACTTGGAAATTTCTAGGCTATACAAGTTATCTGATGTGGGTGTAGAATTTTTGAGCTTGACTTTCTCATTCTATAATGTGAACATGATTTCTGATGGTGCTATGAGGTTTCTTAGTTTCTAGATTATGAATCATTCCTATATAAACCTCATCATTTTATTGTCTTTAATGTGACCATCCATTCTAGACCTCAAAGAACAAAACTTGAAATTATTGGGAGACCCTTTAATCCCGAGAAGGTTCTGATGCCACCATGTCACTCAGTTTGAGCACTGGATCATCTAAAGGAATATGTGGTTTATGCCATGTTACTTAATTACATTGCTGTTTCAGTTCTTGGTTAACTGGAACTATTTTCCCTTGTTCCATCTACCCATGTCTATTTTTCTTTTGTTTTTCAAATTTTAAAGAGTTATATGCAGAATTGGATTTTGTTACCATCCATTCATTTTGTTACTTTCTATTTGAAATAACACTTTTCATTTTGTGGCTGTGCAGAAAAGATAGTGGAGGAACATCCACTCTGCTTTCCCAGCATTGGGGAGATCAAGGTTCATGCTTTAAAGGTATTATAAATATATGTCATGCAACTGAAGGTTGTTGTCATGCTGAAATATGAATACAGTGCTAATTGATCTGGTTCTGTAAATGTGGCAGGTGAAACGCAGAGGATTTTTCTATTACCTTTCAGATTCAATGTCTGTTAGAAGTGCTTTTGAGGGGGTCAGCAAAAGTTGGTTTCTTTCTGTTGATGCCTCAAGTGTGAAGGGCCAGAATGAAATAATGCCTTCCTGCAAACCTGATTCTAGAAACCTAGCTGCCTGTTTTGACATTGCAAATAATAATTCTTCAGCTGATGTGGTTGATCTTCTACCTGATGGTCCTTCCAGAAGGTTGCCTAACATTAATGATTCATTGTTACGGCAAGTTGCAGACAAACATCATGAGAAACAGAATCTTACTGCTGAACAGTTTTGTTCGGGTAACTCCAGTGATGAAATGCCAACTTCAGGTAATTCCAGTGATGAAGTGCCAAAAGTTTTACAAAAGAAAGTTGAAAGGTTGGGTTATAATAATTTTGAGGATTTGCTCTGCCCTACCAGCAATAGATCAGTTCCACAATTGCAGGACAAATTTGATGTTCTTGGTAGAGAATTTGAAGATCCAAGAACGTATACTGCACCTAAAGATGGGTCTACTGTGAAGAAAAAGCATAAAGCTAAAAAAAGAAATGAGGATGCAGGACAAGACTGTGCTGCTAAGGAAAATGATTTGTTGGTCTTGGAATCTGTTGACAATGCATCAAAGTTGGACAATATTGTCCTAGAAAATTCTTTCAGGAGTCCAAGGAGAGATGTGTCTTACAATATGAATGGGGAGAACCAACATGTTGGTTCTTCTAAAACAAATAATGAGTCAGGCACTGGAATGGACACCACTAGCCTTCTTTGTACGGAAATTCAAGTTCGACAAAAACATATTGAATGCGAAAATGATAAACCTGAGAATGGTGTTATCAGTAAGCACAAGTTTAAGTCACCAGAAGAAAGCCCAGAATCTGGGCCTACAGCAAAGAAAAAGCATAAAACCAAGAAGACAAGTGACAATGATATTCCTTTGACAGCTCATGAAGCTTCAATATCTGACACTGTTAAAAGGACCTTCAGACAACAAGAGATGACAACCTCCAGTTATTCTTTAAGTGAAAAACTGGGAAGTGGAATTGCAATCTCAGACAATATTGAACTCTTGGAGGATAACCTTAAGTTGACAGGCACTGCAAGCAGTAGGAAGAGGAAAAGAAAAGAGCAGACATCAAATCCTGATCAAGTAGTTGGTGCAATCTCTTTAGAAAAAGATGAGGAAACAAATAAAATACCTTGCTCGGCAGGTAAGTTCAAAAGAAATACTATTATATTTTTCTTTCATTTCCACCTTATTCTTCCATCTGATACTAGTGGTGGCATTTTGTAGAGAATGATATAAGCAACACTGGTGTTGGCAAAGTGGGAAGGCAAAGTGAAGCAGCTGATTTGGAAGCTGGACCAGTGAAGGATAAAAATGTTCTAGTGGACCAGTGTGCCAATCGTGCAGAGGATCATCCTTACCCTATGATCCAAGAGGTTAATAATCTCCAGGAAAATAGGGTCTCTAGTCGAGAAAATCAAACTTTTGCAGGTGAAGATGGAACAGCGGATCTCAGGAAGTCCTCAAGGAAAAAAAGGAAGTCCAGCAAGACTCAGTGCCCAGATGTGGGAGTGTCAATGCCATTGGAAACAGGGCATGTTAAGGGATCTGTGAATGATGTCTCTCCAACTAAGCTTCCTAAATCTGTAAATGGTGAGACTTTAAGTGATAAAGCTTTAGATTTATGGTAAAACTGATTTAGAATTGCTTTTGTTTCATTTTATTCTAATCCACCCCTTTTTATTATTATTTTTTTTTTTAAATCAGTATGTGATGAGAATATTCTGCTGATATTGGTAGTTGCTTTTTGCAGACAATGAGATGGGCAACATTAGTGCTGGAAATGGGGAAAGCCCAAATGAAGAAGCTGGTTTAGAAGTTATGCCAGTGAAGAACAAGACAATTTTGATGAACCAGCAAGCCAGTCATGTGAAGGGCCATGCTTCCCCTACAGACGACAGGCTTAATAATCTCCAGGAAAATATGGTCTCTGGACATGAAAATCAAACTGTTGCAGCTGAAGATGGAACAATAAATCCTCGAAAGTCTTCAAAGAAAAAAAAGATGTCTAGAAAGACTCAAGATCCCGATGTAGTAACATCAGCGCCCATAAATGGTGAGACTAAATTGATGAAGAAAGATGGTCCAACTGTTTGAAAATGCTTTCATTTACATCTTATTTCTTCTTTTTGTCTAAACTCTCAATAGCTAGTAAGTATATTTTTCTGATATCAGTAGTGGCTTTTTGTAGAGAACAATATCAGCAGCAGTGGTGTCAGCATTGGGGAAAGGAAAAATGAGGCAGCTGATTTAGAAGCTGTGCCAGTGAAGGATATGAATATATTAGTAGACCAGCAGGCCAACCATGCCAAGGGCCATCCATCCCCTATGGTCCTCCAAGAGCTAAATAATCTCTGTGAAAGTAGTGTTGTTGGGCCTGAAAATCTGCTTGTTTCAGTTGAAGATAAAACTGTGGAAGCTGGGAGGCCTTCAAGGAAAAGAAAGAAGTCCAGAAAGACTCAGGGTTCAGATGTTGAAACATCAATAACATCAGGAACAGAACATCTTAGGGAAAGCAACACTGATATTGTCAATAGGGAAAGCAAAAATTATACAGCTGATGTAGATGCTGTGCCTGTGAAGGATATGAATATGGCAGTGAATCAGCATGCCATCCACCTTGTTGAGGACCATTCATATCAACAAGAGTCCAATAATCCCCAGGAAAGTAGGGTCACTGGACTTGAAGATCTGAATGTTGCAGCTGAAGCTGGGAAGTTTTCAAGGAAGAAAAAGAAGTCCAGAAAGACTCAGGGTCCAGATGAAGAAACATCATTAGCATCAGGAACAGAACATCATAGGGAAAGCAACACTGGTATTGACAATGGGGAAAGCAAAAATTATGCAGTTGATGTAGATGCTATGCTAGTGAAGGATATGAATATGGTGGTTGACCAGCATGCCAACTATGTTGAGGACCATTCTTCTCTCCAAGAGCCTAATAATCTCCCAAAAAGTAGGGTCCCTGGTCCTGAAAATCTGTCTGTTGCAGTTGAAGATGAAACCATGGAAGCTGGGACGTCTTCTAGGAAAAGGAAGAAGTCTAGAAAGACTCAGGGTCCAGATGCAGAAACGTCAGTGGCATCTGGAACAGAACATTCTAGGGAGTCACTTGGTGATGTCTCTCCAACTGAGCCTCCTATATCCACAAATGGTGAGAATTTAAGTGATAAAGCTGAGAAAGGTGGTTTGACTGAGCTGAAAGAAGCATCAAAAATTAAAACAGTAAGTGCTTCTCCAGCTGATGATAAGGGAGCTGATGAAGTCATTCAAGATGTTTTGGAATCCTTGCAGCAATGCAACAAGGATATGGTAAATCAGGACATGGATAAGAAGTCAAAGAAGAAAACCAAAAAGAAAGAAAGTTCTACTCTTGTGAAGAACATAGAGACAAAGGGAAAAGATGATCTTGATCATTACAACCCCAAGGCATCAACTGATAGTGTGACAGACATGAATCCTTTGGCTGAATCCTCAAAGGAGAATAAGGTGGTGAATACAACTTCAATGAATAAATTAAACAGATCAAAGAAATCTAAGAAAAATGCTGGCGTTGAAGGAAATTGGGAAGTCCATGATGGTAACAAGAGCATAAATGCTGTCTGTGAAGATGAGAGGATTGAAAAACGACACCAGCATGAAGCTATTGCTTATAGTGAGAAACTTGCTTGCATTGTGACTGACAAAAAAGCAGTAGATGACAAGGCAAATGGTCCTGGTCTACAGTCTACTGGGTCCTCATCTGATATATATCATTCAGTGAAGTCAAGTGAGAATCATATTAGTGGAGGAAATGCTCAAGTAGTCAGCTATGAACCCATCCAAAATCAAAGATCATCATCAAAGAATGTTAATGAGTCTGATAGCCTCATGCTTAAATCAAACAAGAAGCTCCCAAGCATTTCAGGAAATGGAGAAAAACTGATGAAATCTAATGAGTCTCAAAAGTTGAATACCCCACAAGAAGCTCAAACACCAACCCTCACCAATTGTTCTAGTAGGATAAAGACTAAATTGAAGTTTGCTGCATCAACTTCTGGCTCAGAAAGTTCTAAAATTGTAATTCCCCAAAACAGAAGTGGTAATGCTCATCAATCTCATTTGCCTGTTAGAAAAGCTCAGAGAAATGATATTGGGGATGTTGTAGATAGCTCAGAACCGAAGAGGGGCCTGATTGTGACATCTGGTACCATAGACGAAAGGGTTAATAAGAGTAGATCTACTGTGGCTGTTAGAAAGGCTGCAAGGAATAACAATGGAGTAGTAGTGAATGGCTCAGACCAGAAGAGGAGTCTCCTGGCAGCATCAGGTACAATATTTAAGGATGATGGCAAGGAGACTTCTGATGATGAAGACAAAACAGATAACTCTGATTCCAGTATCAGAACTCCAAATAGATCATCTTCGTCTGGATCTTCTGATAGTGATGCAGACTCTAGTTTATCAGACCATGGTAAATTTTTTTCCTGATGAATTTATTTATTCTATTAATCTTGTAATAACATTGAATGCACCATTATTAGTAGATTACTTGGTGATAAGTTGCATTTTTCCTCATACTCTTGTTCTGCCTTCCAAGCTCTTTAGATAAAAAGGAATCGTGTATGCATCATTGAGCTTTTCTTTTCAGAATTCTATAATCTTTTGATTTTCAGCTTTCATCCTTGTTCTGTCTTCCTAGCCCTTTAGATAAGGAGGAATAGTGTATGCATCATTTAGCTTCTTTTTTTTTTCTTTTTCTTTTTTTCAAAATTCTATTATTTTATCATTTTCATCTTTCACCCTCCGTAAAAGATTCTCCTTTGACTTGCAATCTCCTTTCTTTTTCCTTTTCATCTTGTTAAACTGCTGGGCTTTGCTCCTGTTAAAATGACACGAACAAAGTAGCTCTTCTGCCATTTTTGTTAGTTTTGATAGAAATCATTAGCAGTATCATCTTTTATTTTGTTGGCATTGAACGTATAAAAGTTGTATCAGTTCATATTTTTTAGATGGTTTTTAACATTTTTTACCTTTATAATGTCCTTGTAAATTGAAGTGGGACTTGCACAGGTGGTAACTTAATTCTTTTTGTGAAATTTTCCATAGGATCTTACAGCTCCAAGGGGGAAGGAGATGGTGGAAGAAAAAAGAAGAAATCAATGTAAGTTGGATTAAGAATGATAATATAGTTTCTTTTCTCTGTTGTAAGGCATGAATATTTTATTTTCACACCCTGTTGCTAAATTAGAAATTATAAGCATGTTTTGATTTTCGCAGTTGGTTATAGATCTACTTTCAAGTTACCAATTATATGCAAATTTTGGCATTTCATATGGATAATGTCCATATTGTATTGTTGTCCAAGTGAGTCACAGAAAAATAGTTATTACAACATTTTTATTGCGAGTAGTTTTTGCATGTTGTGTCCTGTTCTGGTTGAACACCAGTCAAATATAATACATAGCAGAACACTCAAGTGTTCTATAGAGAATTCTTCATTGAGAGTTAACCATTTTTAGATACCAAAGAAATTTGTTGAGTGTCAAAAATGAAAATTCTGCACTCCGGGGGCAAGATTTCCCTGGCAAAATTTTGGAAAGCATGTATCTTAGGACCCTCACCCAACAAGCATAATTTTCTTGATTTTTCTTTTATTGTCTTGCATTTTCAACTGGTTTGCACTATCGTGTCTTCAACTCTATATCTTGCTTTTCAATTTTAGCAGGCCCTCAAGCCCCAAAAGCTTGTCTTTGGAAGCAATCCTTCGAAGTTCAAGCAGGTACAAGAAGGCAAAGCTAACATTTTCTCAGCCACAGTACGATGACATTGATAGCCAGCCTGATGAATTCGTTCCAGATAGTCAACCAAAATAATTGCCATGAGTTCATTATATTCCACCACTTGGTATGTTTACTTTTCACCTTCATGCGGTTTCCTTTCCCTCTTACTGTTTGGCTGCAGAGCAGCCCTGTTATATTGTATGGCTTTACACCAAGTTTTGTAATCCTTTTGGTATGTAAAGCATTTCCTTGACCATACAAGTGAAAACAAATTTTGGTGCTCTCTTTTTCCTGGGAATCAAATAGAGTTCATGACATCCCTAGGAGATGTGAAATGTGGTTTGAATTATCTAAACTATGATCATTATCTGGATAATATTATTACCACACTTTCAATTACTGATGTTATACATTTTTATCTTTAATTGATCATTATATCTTTTAATTTATTAAGAAATAAAAAATATAAAATTTTAAAAAAATATGTAATATAAGAGTATAATAAATAATTATATTTAAAAAATATATAATATT